TCATCTGAACGAAATTTGCTGCACCATCGTTGACACTTACGAACGTTCAAAACATTTCCATAAACTTCTTTGATATTCTTTGTGGCGTTGTTTCAACGTCAGCTTTCAAGCAATAAAGCTACTTAAAATAATCATTATACCCTTTTTTTATGATTCAGTACACAAAAGATTCTACCTCATTCTACAGCAGTCACTAACCCAAATAACACTATTCTCTTGTACAGTGTTGAACTGATACACACACTTAGACCCATCTGCCGCTGCAGTTCTCTTCCTTTTCTGACCACTAGAGTCCGTGGGTACAGTTGGAAAGGTCCCTTTGTTGGTGACGTACTCCGTAATGTTTTCAGGGTCTTTAGTAAGCTAAGCAGGTTTTTAATACGCGGCTACTCGGCAGTTGCTGATTGCTCAAGTTAGATGTCTTTAATAACCTCATCACGGTTTAACGCGAACGGCACTGTGAGCTAAATGTCAAGATCCTTATAATTCAGGTATACCTGTTCCTAGTTTTAAGCTACTGACCAGAGGGTAGGCAGCCAGTTTCCAAAACCCTCTATCATTACGGCATTGCCCAGCTCTACTGAACATGAATGAAAAGATTGACTGCCACTTTTATGAAACTCCCACAGTTTCGACTGCTGAGCATGTTAAACAGTCTTTACATCTCGAACTTCGAACCTTCCGATACACACCCTAGAACACCAACCACTAGGCCATGTCCAGCTCCGGTAGAGAAACGTTAACATCACTTCTTGTGTTAAACTAATGGACAATAAATACTTAATCGTATCAATAAAAATAGCCAATGACAAATTGCATTGATATCTTAAACCAAGCAAAAGAAAGGTCAGGTCATACACACGCCTTCAATAAATCAAGTGCCAAGATTCTGCACAGGATGTAACTCAACTGACAACTGGAACCTGTTGGTCAACTGCTTCATACCTCTAACAAGAAAGATGCTAGAACTGAAAAATCCGAAATATTAAAACAAACAAAGAAGAACTAACCGAAACCTCTAGTTCAGAGAAACTGTAAATGTTCTAAACAATGTCACCCTCTTTAACAAGTATACAGGAAGTGTCCCGATCAATATGGTTGGAAAGATAAAGAATTGTATAAATATAAACAAACAAAACTAATCCTGGATGCTCTCCGTGCAGCCGTTCTCGTCGTGTAACTCGTTGTGCTCTAATCGTTAGGCCTAAGGGTCAATATTATATTTGTTTGTTTGGTTTTGAATTTCGTGCAAAGCTACACGAGGGCTATATGCGCTAGCCATCCCTAATTTAGCAGTGTAAGAATAGAGGGAAGTCATCACCACCCACCGCCAACTCTTGGACTGCTCTTTTACCAACGAATAGTGGGATTAACCGTCACTTTATAGCGCCCCCACGGCTGAAAGGGCGAGCATATTTGGTGGGACGGGGATTCGAACCCGCGACCCTCAAATTGCGAGTCGAGCGCCCTAATCACCTGGCCATGGTCAATATTATATTAATCGATCTTTCTTTCACTTGTATATTAGAGTCGGTTGTAAACTGCATTATCTGTGAAGATTAATGATAATACTGACGAACCGAACCAGTTTTTCGACATTTTAATTAATCGCAATATTCATGATCTTTCATATTTCTCGTGCTTCGAAGGACGGACAAATACTGGAACGTGACGACCAATAGGAACTTTACCTCCTAATGACCTAAATTATGTTTGTTTGTTTTTAACTTACAATCTTTATTTTATTTTACTCAGATTATTTAAGAGATTAGCATTTTTTATAATATTCTTTATTAAACATTTTTTAATATTTTTTATCTATCTTTATTTTTATATATTTTTAATTCTTTACTTTTACAACAACATTGTTCGAGACGTTTCTTGTCTACTTGTTAACGTGCATACATAGAATGATGTACAACTGTTCTGTGTTTCTGAGATTAAAAGTTTTTTTGAAGAAGG